GGTTTCTCTCAGTCGGGAACCAAACCAAGGCACCCAAGCTCCAGCCGAGGCCCCCGCGCACTGGTGTGCCTGCACGGATCCCACGGGAGAGGGATGCGCGAGGGGGAAGGAGAAGGATGTCCCGCTCCGCAGCAACACTTTCCGCACCCCAAAGGATTGCAGTTCAGAGCTTGCTGCGACTTACGTTTCAGTCTGTCTTATATTCTTGCCAACAGTATGAAAACAATTCTAGTTTGAACAAAATAAATAATTGAAATGGGAACTGTTTTTTGGAAGTGAAGTTTCCAAACTTGAAAATTCAGCAGTTCTCCCAAAGAAGTGCCTCCTGAAACCACTATCTTTTAATACTCTTATTATCCCTCCTCTTTACCTTCAGAAGAGAACGTTTTCTCAACTAAAAGTTTTACATATCCTCTTCCCCTTTCCCACACACGTTTACAATTTCTTTTGTAAATCCTCGTGCATTAGGAAAACTTCGAGGATCTATAAATATCAAACTAGAGAAAGAGCAACTTTATCACGTAAGCTACATAGAATAACATGTCATGTAATATATATAGACTATATGATAGGATAGCTGGGATATAAATTTTTATAGGATAAATTCAACAGAGTAATGAGGTCATGCTGACATGGTACTAAGAGAATCTCTACACCACGCCGTTATTTATTCTGCAAATTCCAAGTACATGTTACAGAAGGACTGTCAGGAATGTTTTAAAGATTTAAATCCTGCAGTTCTTTCCAGCTCTCCTGCCTACGAAGCCAAATGTTTTAGTTATCAAATGTTCAGCTATGTAAGGCTCACAGGGAGCTGTAAAACCCTGTCACGGCGATTGTGTAAAGCTTTTCTACAGCACAAGTCTCAGGACTTTGCAGTCCATTATCTGAAACCGTGCCAGGCTTAGCAGCAAGTGTTATTTCCCACAGGAAAACGGAATTTTCCCTCCTTCCCACACTACAAAGACTGCATGACAGTAGTGTATAAAATCCCCATACTTTTACAGTTAGAAATGCTGTTTGCCCGGCGTTAAATTTTGTTCACCGAGAACGTGTATTTATGCTATCTGTCAACAGCCTCACGGCATTCTGTTCTTTGTTTAAAAATGTATATTTTACCCTTCAAAATATTATAACCACCAATCAGGGCTTCCCTTGTTCGGCTTCTTCTCTCCCGTCTCAGCGCATGATTAAAGCACGAATGGGTGGGTTTTAAAAACACGTCCTTTCTCCAGCAGACCTTAGGCGCTGCAGAGTACAAGGCAGCAGAGGAGGAAAGCAGGTTTTTCCCCTCGACTCGGGGATGTCAGTTTGAGAACTGGCGAACGGGTATCAGTCCTCCCCCCCAGAGCGGCGCCGCGAGCCCTGCTCCTAACTCCGCCAGTTAATAAACCCGCTGTGCTCGGCGCTTCCCCTCTGGTTATCTTACGGGTTGCCGCATCAGTGGGAGATACAGAGAGCGATAAAGAAAAAATAAGTAAACGCAAAAGGCAGCCAAAGCCTCTACAGGCTGGTGGAACAGCGGGGTGTACCTCGCCGTCACTCTTCGTGGGTGCGCGGGCTACAAAAGGGAACTGTGCCCACTGCGATCCCCACATCTGCGCTTCGGACAGAAACACAGCTGGTCCCCAAACAGGAGTCGCTGATGCCCTATTACACAACTCTAATTGTGGGGAGCTTCAGGAAATCCGGCGTTACGGACTCTCATTGCCCTTCCAGAAGAGCTGTATCCTCCACACAGCAAAATAAACTGTTTCTATCAAGAAACACCAGAACAACTGCGGGAAAAAAAAAACCCCGTGCAGCAGCACAGCCACACTGACACTGCGGTAGAAGCTGCTGCAACGCTTCTTGGACTGGAACATGCATTAATGGAGAGGTCTCAGACAATCATAGAATGGTTTAGGTTGGAAGGAACCTTAAAGGTCATCTCGTTCCCCCCCCTGCCCTGGGCAGGGCCACCTCCCCCCAGCCCAGGTTGCTCCAAGCCCCGTCCAACCTGGCCTTGAACACCTCCAGGGATGGGGCAGCCACAGCTCCTCGGGGCAACCTGCCCCAGGGGATCACCACTCAGAGTGAAAAATTTCTTCCTCGTATCTCATCTAAATCTCCCCTCTTCCAGTTTGAAACCATTCCCCCTCCTCCTGTCACTCCATGCTCTTGGAAAAAGTCCCTCTCCAGCTCTCCTGGAGCCCCTTTAGGGACTGGAAGGCCGCAATAAGGTCTATCTGGAGCCTTCTCTTCTCCAGGCTGAACAATTGTCTCCATCGACAGTATCAAAAGTGGCAGCGCTCCACAAACTCGGCGTCGTCTCTGCACTGCTGTTCCCTCCATGCTGTGGCAGAGGAGAACGTGGCCGAGCAGAACCCAGCACAGCTCTCCCTGGTTCTCCAGCCAACCCTCCCGGCTCGCAGATGAGATTCGGGAAGGAAGGGAGAGTGTCCTTCAGCAAGAAGACTGCTCCCAACTGACTTTATACGAAAAATTATAATGACAACAACATTTTCCAAGCATTGCAACTGATCCTCCCTGCAAGGCAACAACATATATCAGGTTCCACGCAGAAGTAAATGCCTTCTGATGAAAGAGGATTTCTCGTGAAGGCGGACCGGCAGGGCTCTTCATGAGCCAGCACTTAGAAGTATTTGCGACTGCTACACTCCGTTTTAATTTCATACGGCCGGAGAAGGCGGCAGCCACGCAGGTGTGCGGTCTGGAGGCTGTTGGGGAGGAGAAAACCCCGCGTGCGTGCTGCCAGCACTGCCCTCCTCCTGACTGGGAATGTGAAGAGGCAGCGGCAGCTCTGCCAGGGTTACGAGCGCGTGTGTCGCGCCGCTCTCCCACCGCTGGAGATGTCCGCCGGCGGCTCGGCACGCTCCACAGCCCGCGCTCCCTCACGCTTTCCTGGGAAGGAGGAGGCGGAGCGAGACTCCGCTCTCTCGGCCATTTTTCATCTAGAGCGCAATGTGAATGACTGAAATTGAGTTAATTGTGTTTACCAAGTAATAGCCTAAAGCAGTCTGAAGAATTATTACAGCGAGACAGCGCGGTTGCAGCAAGGTGTTCAGAGCCATTCCAGTCCGTGCTTGTTTGCCAGCCACTCGTACGTGAGAAAACTGCCTCTCCAGCTTGCTCTGCTGAATCTTCTGTTTCAACAAAGTTATTTGGGAAAACGAAGTGTGGGAAATAGAGAGACAAGGGTCTGCTGGATGTTGGGCCCAGGCTAGATGTTTCTGCTAACTATTCACCTATGAGCAGAGAGCATAAGTAAAGTTCTATACTTCAAAACAATCTTCTTGAAAAATACTGCCTTTCTTTAACAATCATCATATTTTGGAAAACTGTAGTATGAGCTGTTATGCCAGGCAAACTCAGCCCATGAACTACACATACACAGCACAGAGTCAGCTACAACTCATGTGAAACCCAAGTACCGAGTCCGGTCGTTAGTAAAAAAATCTGGTAGTTCTTCCAGAGAGCATCAGTGTCACCGTTATTGTATACTGCTAACGCAGTCCTTGAACAGCTCTGAAGGAAAGCTGTGATCCCAGCTGAAAAGGAAAAACACAGCACATGTCTGCTGACTGAATTATTAAAATTATATCCCTTAGGAGAGAAGATATTTTTGTTTTATAGCGTGTGTGTGTATCTAAGCCAAATTCTCAAAAGCTGTAAAAGGATACAGGAGATTATAATGTAGTGTTCAGTATCTTTACTAGACTAAGCCAGATGTAGTCAAGTTTACTATACAGGTCATTTTTCCTCTCCTGTAAAAACAAGCAGAAAAAGGTTCCTACCTTTCTTCAGGTATGATGTAAAAATTAACATACAATAAGTATTCTTAATAGTGATTTATGCTCAAAAAAGGCAACCCTGACTACGTGATGAGTTCGGTTTTAATGCTTACAGTGGGCATACCTGCAGAAAACAACTCCTCCCGCGAGGCGGGAACCGGGAGAAGCCCAGATGGCTTGATAAAGCGGGGAGTTTCACAAGAGTCATCTGCTTCCCATGCCACTACCCAACCCAGCCACTATAGACCCAGAGAGGAGGGTAACGGGAACGTGCCCTGTGCTGCTGACCAGTTCAAACTTGCCCGGGCTCCTAAAAGCCATCACCGTCATTGTCTAGAAGGGACTGTCATCCCGCACGCTCAAAGTTCTGCTTTTATTTATGCGTCTACTCTTTGTCCTCTGTCAACTTCTATTCAAGAGCTGAGCTGCAATAAAATCTTGCAGAACGTGCAGCTTTGGTGCGCTGGTTTGAAATCTGTTTAAAGTTTAAAACCAGACTGATTTCCTCTATATAAATCATCCTACATCTCTAGCATACCGCTTTCAGTTCTTCTCTGTATTCAGCCTCAATTTGCATTAACGCTGAAGATATCACCATTAAAGGAAAAACGTCAGTGTATGTTTATATTTATAAGAATCACACAAAGGCAGAAATTAAAATGCACTGAAATTCTTAAAAGCCCCTCCCCACAATAAGAAACAATAACCACATCAATAGGATGTTCAATAAAAAAAGGATCTTAAAAATTAAAAAGACAGTGAAAATGAATCAGAATAATTCACTAGCTTTAGATACATCTTTATTATAGTATTAAAAAAAAAAAAAAGGGAATCTGGATTCCTATATAGAATGAAGAAAGAAATTATTCCTAACAGGCTTAACTCAAACTCCTTCAATACTCTTAAAACTACTTTTTAAGTTCCCCAAGGGCTAGGAGAGGTGCTGCTTACCCAGCTTTCTGCTATACACAACTCCCCAACTCTTGTGGAAGAGAGCTCACTGCAAATCCTGTATGTCAAACAGCTGAATACGCATAAAGGATCACCACCTCTATGAAACCAGTTCATCGGAAAAGAGCTTTCCCTTCACTGAACACCGAAAGGACTATGAAGAGGTGATTTACTTTTCTTGCAGAGTCAACACAATCCATGGCAGGTAATAAATCAAAAGAAAACGATTTTTAAAACAAACAAAGTTTCCTTTTCTACAAGTAGGGTGTTAATATTCCAAATATACCTTTGTTGCTAAAATCGTCAATTAGCACAATTTCTGCCAGGTATTTCCTTGGTGTTCTCTTAATGACACTGTGGACTGTCCTCATGAGTGTGGACCATCCTTCGTTATGGAAGACAATGACAACGCTGGAGGTGAGCAGGTTTTCATCATAATGCCAGTATTTGCATCTGTAAAAAGATTTTTGATTTTGTTAGTTTTCACATTACGATTCACAGAGCTGCTTAACAACATCTTTATGCAAATGAAATCTTCACTGATGGCTATCCTTCAGATTAAAGAGAAACGGGATATTAAAGGTGATATAGGTTAAGGCGTCACAGAGGCACGAGGCCCAAAGAGCAGCTCGCTTCCAGCCAGAGAGCCCTTTTCCTCCCGAGAGAGACGATGGCGCCGGTGAACACGGACTGCTACCTCAACAGCTCCATGCTTCCTCCTGGGTAGGCAGAAGGCATTGCAGGGACCCCGCCGAGAGTCATCCCCACCACCACCAGCAGCATCACCTCCACCACGACCTCCACCAGTACCACCTCCACCACGACCTCCACCACCACCAGTACCACTTCCACCATGACCTCCACCAGTACCACCTCCACCACGACCTCCACCACCACCAGTACCACCTCCACCACAACCTCCACCACCACCAGTACCACCTCCACCACGACCTCCACCACCACCAGTACCACCTCCACCATGACCTCCACCACCACCAGCACCACTTCCAGCATGACCTCCACCACCACCAGCTCCACCATGACCCATGACCAGCACCAGCACAACCAGCACAACCTCTATCATCATGCTGCTTGTGCCACCAGTAGAGAACAGCAGAAGAAAAGCCCCAAACTATGGCTACAAAGATGAGGGTCGTCTTCAAACCATCCGATCCCACGATTTAGGACAGGCTGGCCATTTGGCTCACCTACTGCATAACACACCCTAAGACAGTGCTGTTTTTTTCTAAGCCTCTTTAAATCAGATTTACCCAAGAGAAGGACTGTCTATGAAGTGTTTCTGTTGTCTTTACACAGCCCACAGGCAGAACCTGCATGATTAGCAAAGTTACAAACGCTGTTGTGGCCAAGCAATCAAAAGACCTTAATTTCTGCCCTTTCACAGTAAAATAGATTTAAAAATAGTAAGTAAACAGCAGCAGCATGAAATGCTTGTATCAGCTATTCTGCATAAAACTCTCTCCGTTTGCAAAATCTGTCAGAAAAGCATGGTTGCTCGTGGGAAAAATGTAATCCCATGGCAGACAAGACGTGATCTTTACTGTTTATCATTCCTGGGTAAACTTCCAGGTATAACAAATGTAGCTAAAAAAAAAAAAAAAAAAAAAAGTCGCCAAACCCATTCAGGGTTCCAGCTTGGCATGCCATGAAAAGCACTTCTGTATCCATTTCGGACGTTCTGCACTGCAGTGTCACTGTGGAGCTGGACGCAGGTCTTTTTTCCTGAGGTATTACAGATGAGCGAGAAAGAAGCAACAGGAGTAATTCAGTCCACACTTGCCAATATTTACTAATCAAATTTATCAGCGATGCATTTCATTTGCAACTGTAATGCCCATTTCCCCAACCGCATCCCGAAACGAGAGCGTTCAGGGTTTCCCTAATTACAGCCAGCCCAGGTGTTTCCTTACCCGGCAGCTTCCCTCCCTCATCACCGCCCCTTTCCCAACTAGAATAACACGGTTCCTACCACCAAACCCAGAGGCATAGCACTTTGGATTTCAACAGGCAAAAGGCTTCCTTTTTTCATCTTTCAGCAAGTGAAGTCTCTACTAGAGACAATCTAACTTTTCAAAGACAACTATCATGTATTAAGAGGTTATTCTTGACAAACGGAAACTTTTAAACTCAGGGATGCACAAACTCCCATAGTTATATTTCCCTATGTACAATAAAAAGCTTAAATGCACAGAAACATTCTTGTGTTCAAAAAGAAATCAGCTTATTTGTCAGAAATCACCACAGTTTCTGAAACTAAACCACACTAAATGTAGAAAGAACTCACATAACAGATCTACAGGTATTTAACGAGCATGTTTTCTCCGTCCCTAGAGGGGCTCCGGGAGAGCTGGAGAAGGACTTCTTACAAGGGCCTGCAGGCATAGGACGAGGGGGAATGGCTTCAAACTGGAAGAGGGGAGATTTAGATTAGACACCGGGAAGAAATTGTGGACTGTGATCCCCGGGGGCAGGTTGCCCCGAGAAGCTGTGGCTGCCCCAGCCCTGGAGGTGTTCAAGGCCAGGTTGGACGGGGCTTGGAGCAACCTGGGCTGGGGGGAGGTGGCCCTGCCCAGGGCAGGGGGGGACTGGATGGTCTTCAAGGTCCCTTCCAACCTAAACCAGTCTGTCATTCTATGATTTCTTTGGTGAAGAAGGACATATTTCACTTATTGTCAAGGAGCAGCATCAATATACATTTTCAACCCAACAGAAAAAAAAGAAGTTGGTACATAATATTCATTTTGGGCCTGTGGGAGAAGAAAACTACAGCATCAAAACAGTCTATAACTAAGACTGATCTAGTGGGGCATTTATTCTCTTGGTCAGGCATGGTGTAAGCAACCTCTGAAACAGCCCCATCTCCACAACTATGGGTTTCAGACTAAAATCCTCCAGCTCAATTGTCTTTACGCCTGAAGTCCCCACAGGTGATCACACCGGTACACCAATGCAGGAGCGTTGGACTGACGCCGCCTTTCTGCCACAGCTCCCTCTCCGAAGGCGACCAGGGGCCGCAGGGCTCAGAGCAGAGCACAGGCGCTCAACCTCGCCACAAGCGACTCAGCCGCCGGCAGAGACACAAGGGGTACGCCACCGCGGTGCGCTGCGTCGGCCGCCCCAAGAAAGGCTTTTCCTTTGTACGTGTAATAACAGCTTCACAACAGAACCGGGTCGTTTCACACGTATATTCACCGGGATTAATTTTGGTGACCCGGTTGTGTTAAACTGGAGGAAGACACACTGAAAAGGGTCACGCCAGCGGAGCGCCATTCAAGACTGCATGTAACGGCAGTGGCCATTTTTAGCGCTTTTTGCCTCAAAGGAGGTGGCGGCACCCCACGCAGGTTACGCCGCGTCGCCGACACACACCTTCAGCTAGGAAACTTTTTGGCTTTCCAATTAAAAAGAAAGAGAGCCACAACATTTCAGACTGCCTTCAACAACAGAAACAAAGCAAACGTTGCAAAAAAACCCCATATCTTTTCTTTGGGTTTTTTTTTCCCTCCCACTTTCTGTACTGCAGGTAAGTCCTATTTAGGAACAAAATGGCGAAGAGCATAAGAATGAAAGACAGTAAGTAACTTAACTTAATTTTTAAAAGCCAAACCTATTACAAAAGCCTGAATTGAACAACACATCTGCGAGCAATTTATAAGCATTTTTTGATCTGTATTTAATACATTTTTAAAACATAAAACCAGAGGTCTAGACAGGCTTTTCGCTACATATCCAACTTAATCTCCTCAAATCTGTCAGCACGTTTTACTTTTTAAACTTGAAAAATCATGTGTTGCTAAAAGTGCCATTTGCAAGCCATAAAAGCACTACATTTATACCTCTAGTAAGATCATACTTTTAGTTTTTTCCAGAGGCTTTATTCGGGTTGTTGGACAGTCCGCAGACTGACTCACCCAGCCCAGAAGCTCCAAGAGACTGCAGTAACGCCCCTGCACAGCCTCGTCCCTCGTCTCACATTGGGAACCAGAGGTTTGAAACACGGGGGTTGTTTTAGATATATGCAATCAATGCACATTTTCAACTCTGTGGCAATTTTTTCCAAGAAATTCAAACACTGCCCAATCACTTGAGTGACAAAAATCAGGACCCTTCACATCCAGAGGGGAGGAAGAGCCTTTCTGCGGCGGAGCAGCACTGACATCCAGTGGTTGGCAAACCAAACGCCAAGAAACCATAAACACATTTTCCTCGTGTTTGAGGCTGAATTTTACAGTATGAGTTTCCCAGTAAATTTTAGGCACCAGAAAGGGAAAAAGCCTGGAATTCCAGACTCACGCTTCAGTTTTGAAAGATAGGGTCATGAAGATATGGGTGTCCATGCAAAAGCCATTGAAAACTGGCAGGGGACATGTTCAGAGTGCCAGAGGGGCTGTGACAAAGGGGATTTAAATACGTTTCGCCCTCTGGCTTCATCCCCTGGGTGCCCTGTCCTGCCCACTGCCACCTGCAGCCGGCTGTGCAACGTGCTGGGAACCAAACTGGTAAACTAACTCACTTAAAAACATTATTTTGAATTCTTACTGGTAGGGCCGAGAGGCCGGCACGCTGCGGCAGGTACGCCGGAGCGAGAGGGCAGCATCCTTCAGCTGGTCCGGCCTCTGGATGCTTCCCAACCCTTGTCCCGAGCCCTGTGAGGAGCAGTCCCTTTGCTGCCCTTCCTCAGGGAGCTCTGGGCCGAAAGGAAGGGCCTTCAGAGCAGCCCGTCAACAAAAACTGCCTGTTCCCAACCAGCACTGGCATTACCGAGGAAAAACACGGACTGAGTCATCACCGAAGCGAGAAGAAACCATTCAAAAGATAGAGGAGTGATCTCATGGAGAAACAGAGTGTGTGTCTTCTGACTATCAGCCTACATACTGAAGATGTGAGTTAGCCCTACTCCCTCTCCACCCCGGGGAGGGAACAGCACTGCCAGAGACCGTTCCACACCATCGTTCCTGTCCCTCCGTCACAAAGTTGGGCACCCACTGCAGCAGGACAGGAGCCCTTTTATGGGGACCCCGGGAATCAGAATAGGTTGGAAAAGACCATTAAGACCATCAAGCCCACCCGTCACCCCAGCACTGCCCAGCCCACCACTAACCCGTGTCCCTCAGCACCACGGTTACATGTCCTTTAAATCCCCCCAGGGATGGCGACTCCCCCACTGCCCTGGGCAGCCTCTTCCAGTGCTGGACAACCCTTTCCGGGAAGGAATGTCTCCTGATCTCCCATCTAAACCTCCCCTGGCGCAACTTGAGGCCGTTCCCTCTTGTCCCATCGCCTGGTCCTGGGGAGCAGAGACCGACCCCCCCTTCCTACCCCCTCCTGTCAGGGAGCTGTAGAGAGCGAGAAGGTCTCCCCTCAGCTCCTCCTCTCCAGGCTGAACACCCCCAGGGCCCTCAGCCGCTCCTCACCAGACGTGTGCTCCAGAC